TCTAATGATAAGGTTAGAATCAGATGTGACCCGAGTTGTGGCTTCGTCAGTTTAAATAATTTTTTGTTTTATGCAATTATTTAAAGTTAATTAGTGAACTTGTTTGTACTTTTTCACCTATAAATAAACAGAGGAAGAATTTTTATGTTATTATTTATTTTTTATTTATATTTCATAAATTAATTAGATAACAAACGAACATCTTTCACCCCACTTTTCTGCATACTTTATAACAGAGTTGTCCAAGGTCGATATATTTTAGCTTAAAATAGAAATTTATCAGTATTCATGCCCATTACCGTTCCTACTCCTCACTTCATTGCTGAAGTGATTTATCATAGCGCGTGATGCTCGTTCTCATGGACAACACTAGTCTGAAATTGATAAAAGTTTTTGACCTGTGTCTTTCACTATGTTTAAAAGTATTCTGTTACTAAATTACTAAATTAAGATACTGTTATTCATAATATGAATAATATTAACTATAAAAATATGAATAATAGTATCTTGTAATATTAGTAACAGAATACTTTTAAACATAGTGAAAGACACAGGTCAAAAACTTTTAACGACTTCAGACTTGTGTCGTTATCGTTTGCTACGACAAAACAGCACTGAAGTGAGGAGTAGAAACAGTAATGTCAATATCAACACATTTCTATTTTAAGCCAAAAACACCGACCTTGGACTGCGTTTAGAGAAAGCTAATTATTTGACTCGAAGATATGCGTAACAGAGGATAAAAATATAAAGCTTATCGTCGCTTATAAAGACATAATTTCGACTATATTTAATTAATTTTTAAATTTCTTAACACACCGATTTGAACGTAATTTGCAAAATTATTTGTTAATACATACTAATAACACTAATAGCTTATAAATTTTGAATAATTTTAGTGCAAGATGAAACAATTTGTTAAATGTATTTTAAGACACTGAGTTTGAATCTGTCACTGGAAAAGTTTCATCAAGTCGAATTTTTTAAATACAGCATGTTGGTAGCACCGTCATTTGACTGATATAGTGATAATTAAAAATTCATCATGGAATAGGTGCATTAAACCTGAAAACGGAATTATTATTATTGTTTTCGTGCACGATTTCAGAGACGATAATACTTCAGAGGGAGTGTAGGAACGAAACAACTACGTTTTATCTTTTTTGCGATTTTTTCCAAAACGAAGCAAAAACAAGCATATCTCTACAGGACTTTTTTTCTTATCGATCCTCCATGCTCCCGAAGTTTAGACATTTAAATTCGGAACACCCTGTATAATTGTATATAAAATATGTCCATTTACATGCAAATATATAAAATTATATATGATTTTATGTAATTTTATATAATTATATATAAAATATTTTTTCCCTGGCAATTAAAATAAAAATCGCGGATTGTGGGACACACTCACAGTTGCCAGGTCCGGAGCACTGTATGGCTGGGGCCCAAAGATCCGTGCGCTGGAGATTTCATATTTCGATTGGAGACCGGCCGATTGTCTCATTAAAAAAAAAAAGAAAAAAGCGCAGGGTTTAATTCGTGTTTTGCGACCACTGTTATAGACTTTCTTTTTGTTATTAATATTTGACCAACATAAAGTATCAACACGATCACAGAGACCTTCTTATTATTATTACAAGATTTATACATACAGTACGAACACAATTACAAACTTTTTTATTATTCGTAAAATAACATAAACTGCGAACATAATCGCAGACTTTCTTATTACTTTCCACGTAATTTAAGTATATAATTAATAAATATCCCACGGGAGCGAAAAACTGGAGATTTTTCCCGTCTGCTGGAGAACTGGAGATTGGTCCTGAAAACTGGAGTCTCCAGTTGAAATCTGGAGACCTGGCAACCGTGGACACACTACGCGAGGGAAGAGTTATTTATTTTGTAAGTCAAAAATGAAGCATTTCATAGCATTTCAGATCATATCTTGACGCATTTAACTTCACAAAGTATATGAACGTTCTCTCTAAGAATATTTGTACATTCTTAGAATGTTCTATGAACGTCTTTAGAAGTTTGGTGTTGTATGGATATATGTGTACGAATGGCATAAATGCGCGCGATCTATGTAAGCAGAGATACAAGTTGCTTGTTTATTATCATTTGAATAATATCTGTTTGTTCACTGGGATACAATTGATTGATCTTTGTCCCGCCTTTTCTGCGCGAGATTGACGCTATTTCTATGCTTCTTTTCTCCGCGCAATTCCGAAGTTATTGTTGCGAGTCTGAGGAATAGCAACGGGGAGACCGGTTGCGTTACAAAAGATGTATATCGGAACCGATAAGGTTCCAAAGGTGATCTCGCATTTGTAAAGATGTGAGATCGAAGTTTATAGAAGATTCAAATAATTTCAAGTGATATTTTTAGATTGCTGAGATATCATTTTTTTATATCATTTAGTAATCCGTGTAAGTTTCTAATCGAAAATCAGAATAAACTGAATACATATATTTATCACTTTGAACTACTTCAGAAAGTATGACACATCGCATTTACAATATTTACATACATCACACAAATAATTCTTTTGTTAAAAGATCTTTTTGTAAAAGTAATGTTGTAAATTATTCAAAATGATGCTGTAGATTAGGCAAAATGAAAAGAAAAAGAGAATTATCCGAGATTAATATATATTTATCTAGTGCAAAATGTATTTTTTGTCTGAATTCAAATTGTGTGTATTACCGCATTAATTATGATGTTCTTTTATCGCTCAGACAGTTTTAGTAATGCAAATAAAAATGACAAACTAATAAAGAGCGCGTGCAGAGTGATAACGCAGCATATATTGATTATGTGATCGTTTCAATTATGAATTACATTCGTTTGTAAAATAATTACTCAAGGCCATCAAACTTTTCCTCCTATTTCTGTTGCACACATGTAGTGTGCCCTATGAATGCATCTAATATTTGAATAAGTGAATAAAAATACTCATTCGAATACACACACACACACTTCTTTTTTATTTGTTAAGAAACGAATACTTTTTCGTTCCATTTGAATGAATATTTTTTTAATATGATTACAAATATTTTCATTTTCGCATTTACTTCTACTCTGTATTATCTACACATAGCTTGCAAGCCTGCAAGAGAAAATAGAAATTTGTAAAAACAATGAAACCGGCAAAGGAATCCTTCATTTGCAGTGATGTCAGATGACAGACTAGTGATGCGGCACAGTTAGAGATGAAAATTACTAAATTTTACGGTAATTTATTCGGTAAATTACGGTAAATTCTAAATTAGTTAGTAATTTTTAGAGGCTGAGAAAATGGTAATTTTAAAAAAATTATAAAAAAATAATTTGATACAAAAGCATTTAGTCTTTAGTTATTAAATTCAAAATGCTTTATTTAACATTAGAACCGCCGGAATTGGATATCCTAGAACCGCCAAACGCGCCAATTTGGCTCTTATACTTTTCTCCGACTAATAAAACGTTATTTTAATATTATTTTCCAACTCGGTTTTGATTTCTTTCGGCGTTAAATCTTTCATATGTAGATGTTTGATTACTGCACGAAACTCGTTTTTTTCCATCTTGCAAAAAATACAAAGGTTCGCTTTAATCTATAGAAATGAAACCACGCGATGAATTCCGCTCAAAATTTGACAGTAATCAGCTGAGAGAAAGATGCTACTTGTCAAAAAATAATGTGACATGACACTGCGAGTGCCCTCTGACAGATTTTCTAAGAACTTATTGACTCGCCCTCATATCAGTGGTTAAGTTTCCATCGAGGGTTAAGCGGGGAGCACAGACTCTTGCATAACGCATAACACGTAATGTATAAGAAAATGTACCAATCAAAGCCCT